ATTAAAACAGACATTCGGGTGGCGGGGGAAGAAGAACAAACTGGGGAGGAGGGTAGAGAGAATGGTGCAGCAATGAAGGAATGAAAACCCCAAATCCCTGTAAATGTTCATTAAAACTAATAAAATTTTTTAAAAAAAGAAAAAAAAAAGAGTAGCCCCAACGAGGCCCTATTTCAGAACCTTCTTCATAATAAGCACAGGGCAAATGGTATGGTGAGTTTTGAAATATCATGGGTCCTTTCTGAGAAATGTAGCTGCTTGACCACATTTACTCAGATGCTTATGTCAGGAATCTCTAGTTTTTTTGGAAGTTCTCTAAACTTTACATCTTGAGTGATTCAGACCTTGGGAAGAAGGAATATTTAGATTACAGACCCTCTGTTCATCTTTTCTACTCCCTCCCTAATGATTTCTGGACGATTGGTCAGGATCAGTATTTGCAAGTCAGATACTCTCTCATGCTCCAGTAAGATGAACTCACTGCCACTGTCTGTTAGAATCCATAGCGAACCTCTATCAGGTTTCTGATGGAAGGAATCTTTATTTTGAGGAGCTGGTGGATTCATGCTCAGGAGAAGCACAGTCTTTGAGTTATTCCCAGCAATTCAGACTATAGTTCCAGAGCTTCCCTTTTGAAGGATGCTGTGGTGGTTTGGTGCCATTCAATCATCTACTATTCATAGTGACCCTAAAAACAACAGATGTGAGCCTTGCCCTATCCTTTGCTATCCGCACACTCTCTGATATACTTGAGCCCATTGTTACAGTCATTGTGTCAACCTACCTGTTGGAGGTGGTCTTAGCTTTCTCTGACCCCCTACTATTCCCACCATGATGCCCTCTACCAACAACTGGCCTCTCCTGACAACATGCCCAAAGTATGTGAGACAAAGTTTCACCATCCTTGCCTCTAAGGAGCATCCTGGTTATATTTCCTCCAACACAGAATTGTTTGTTCTTTTGGCAGTCCATGGAATATTCAGTCCTCTTCTAAATACAATTTAAAGAAACCAATTCTTCATCTGCCATCCTTATTTATTGTCCATCTTTCTGATGCATGAGAATAGGAAAGATGATGGCTTGAATCAGGCACACCTTAGTCTTTAAATTGACATCATTGCTCCTGACCATCTTGGAGAGATCCTTGATAGAAAATTTTCCCAATGCAACACTTCTTTTGATTTCTTGACTGCTTGCTGTTACCTTGGGTGCTGATTGTGGATCCAAGTAAAATGAAATCATTGACAACTTCAATGTTTTCTCCATTTATCATGATGTTACCTATTGTTCTAGTGGTGAGTTTTGTTTTCTTGATATTGGGTTGCAGTCCATATTGATGGCTATATTCTTTGCTCTTCTGCATACAGAATTTCAAGTCCTCCTCACTTTCAGCAAGCAAGGCTGTACCATCTGCAAACATAGGTTGTTGATGAGTCTTCCTCTGATCCTGGTGCCACATTCTTCATAGTGTCCAATTCCTTGAATGATTTGCTCAGGATACAGATTGAATAGATCTAGAGAAAGGATAAAACACTGAAGCACACCTTTCCTGATTTTAAATTATGCAGTGTTCCTTTATTCTGTTTGAACAACCGCTTCTTTGTCTAGGTACAGGTTTCCCGTGAGCACAAGTTCTGAGATTCCAATTTTTCTCAACGTTAGCCATAATTTATTATGACTCACACATCAAATACCTTCGCATAGTCAATAAAACAGAGAGAAATATCTTTCTGGTATTCTCTGCTTTCAGTCAAGATCCATCTGAGATAGAAAATGATAACTTTTGTGCATAGCTTCTTCTGAATCCAACTTGGATTTCTAGCAGTTCTCTGTTGATGTACTATTCCAGCCATTTTAAAAAAATAATCTTCATGCACAGCAATCCCAGAGCTGCACGGTTCAAATCCACCAGATGCTCTGCTGGAGAAGGAGGAACAATCTCCTCCTGTTCCAGTCAGATCCAATTTGACAGTACCCACACACAAACAATAAAATAAAAAAAAATTAAAAAATAGTCTTCAGTAAGATTTTACTTGCATGTGATATTGATATTTTTCCATTCTGTGGATAAATATCTACATTCTGTTGGCTCACTTTTTTTGGGGAATGAGAACAAATATGGATGTCTTCTAGCCAGTTGGCCAGGATAGGCATTCAGATATTTTAAAGAGCACATGAATCATTTACAGATCTTGTTTAAATGTGGATTCTAATTCAGAAACTCCAGGATAAGGAACAAGATTCTGCATTTCTAACAAACTCCCCGATGCTGTCAGTAAGGGGGTAGTTCTCTTTTAATGAAAAGCTAGACATGACCCATCCACTAACAATTTCATTTTGTAAATCATATGCATTCCAATACTTATATTTGATGCTTTATTATATAATGTATATAATTAAATATACAATATTCAAATGTGCTTTCTAGCAGAGATTCTATTAAAATGTGCATTCAAATATATTAGGTGTCTGTCTTTAATAAATTAGGAGTCTCAACCTTATTTATAATCCAACTCAAAATGCCCCATGCCAGTCCATCTCATCTCACCAATGCCTAGTATGTCAATATTTATGCATTCCATTTCTTCCTTAACAATATCT